CTTCAACATCCCATAGAAGAAAATGCGTCTATATTTCCTTTATTCTAAAACATTACAGCAGAAGTAAAATGGTTCTTCAATGGTTGTTGATGCATAACAAAATTTCTGTATTAATATAAAAGACAACTGGGGTTTTTCTTTCTTTTTTTTTTTCAAAAGCTCTTGTAATATTTGCAGCTCTAAATGAGTTTTATTTTTCCTGGAAAGAGGGAAAAGATACTTGTTTTTAAATTGTGAAGGTTGTTGCAGTTCCTTCTCATTTATTTCTAATCAGACAAGACTCTGAAATGTATTTTCTACATTATATTCCGTTTACTCCAACTGGTTCTTTCTGTGTTTTAGAAAGAGTGTGCATATTCCTTCCATCCACCCCGTCAGAGAACATGTTCACGCCTGTGTGTGTGTGTTTCAACCTCATATCCCCACTTGTGTCTCAGAACAGTTTATCAGCGCTGAGGCTGAAGAGGCTTTGAATTCTCCAAAGCCCCTAACCCCTGGGAACATACCTGTTCCTGCAAGCCTCAAATGTGCAGGTGCCCCATTTCAAAAGATGACACACCTCCTCTCCGTTTCCCTCCTTTACCTGCCTCGTTTTCTACCTCCCCCTTCTTACGGCTGCAACTCTACACTAAAACTGAACCACAGCACTATTGAAATATCTCCTCCAGTCTGGTCCGCACTTCAAAGTAGACGTTCCCCCTCCAGCCAGATCTGAGGGGGGCCGTCCGAGCAGGAAAAGGTCCCAGTCCCTGAAGAGCTGGGACTTCAAAGTCTGTTGCGTTTATTTAGGAGCTGTTTGAAAATCAGAGAACACCCGGACATTTGATGCTGCTGTTCAGCCATGGTACAGTTGATACTGGAGGTTAAATTGTTTCACTAAAACTTTGATCAAATAAAATGCATTCTAATAGCACCTGGTTTGGCTGTGAACACAAAAGCACTTTTATCATCCAGGAAACTCAAAGTGAAGACTGTTTTTTTTTTTTTTTACAGTTTAACACTGTAACAGTCCGATCAGCGAAAACAGGAGAGTAACGTTGGCGCCTGGTGGAGATCTTTATGTTCCTCATTTCTTAACTATTTCTCATCTTGAAACAACTCAAATGTAAAATGACTGATGTGTTTTACTCCAACAAGTAGTAAACTGTAACTGATTCCATATGTATCACTTACATATGGTGCATATGTATAATAACCACATCCGGTACGGAACAACAATAGTGTTGCAAAAATTACAATGATTTTATTAAAAGGTTTTCAAAAAAAATTAGAACTAAATAAATACATAAATGGAAAACAGCTAATGTACAAAAAATATTAAAATCTGCTAAAACAAATCTGCTTCATTTAAATAATGCTGGAAAACTGCATAAAATAAAAAAGGCTATTTATATAAGTAAACAAAACTATAAAATATAAAAAAAATAATAAGGATAGATAAAAGCCAATAACTATGACATATATGAAAATATAAGGGAAAAATATAAAACTGAATTGAATATGTTTATTATTCAGTATCTTAAGCAAAAAATAACACATAAATAGAACTAAAAAACATTTTTTTTAATGAGAAAAATATTAATCCATTTATTTTAGTTCCAGGTCCAGATAGGGGCTACATGGTGTCACAGTTGGTGGAACTGTTGCCTTGCAGTAAGAAGGTTGTGGGTTTGAATCCCAGCCTGCAGTCTTTCTGCATGGAGTTTGAATATTTTCCCAGTGCATGTATGTTTCTCTCTTGGTATTCCAGCTTCCATCCACAGTTCAAAACATGACTGACGGTTAATTATTTTTCCTAAAGCTTCCACTTTGTCATGATTTTCAAAATGTCATCAGATGAATATTTATTTTTATGGTATTTATAATAAGTCTCCATCCTTATAAAAGCTTGTTTGCTGTGGTGAATACTGTACCGTTGTTACTATGAAATGACTCCTCCTCATCCCTTCCTGTATGCTGGTATTTCTCCACCCTCTGCCCTCTAAACATATAATTTGCTGTAGATCACTGCAGGAGAATTTCCCACTGCGGTTGGTCCGCTGACATCATTGCAACCATGCAAACGTACTGTGCTGGCTGGAGTCAATGGTTGTCCTCATCCAGTGTCGTTATGAGGAAAGCATCTCCAATAATCGGGCATTAGGAAGGCCCCTAATTGCTTTATGTAATAATGTGCCGTCGTGATCTTCTGGGAGCGATGAATGTTGGAACACCCGGCCACCTCATCGTCTCTATTCTTCATTAAAACACAAACGTCAGCGCTGTTCAGGCAACAAAGGGGCGATTTACTGAGGCTGCTTGAAGGACATGTTCAAATGCTCTCACTGGGTTTATTATTAGAAACTTGTGAGCTTTTGTTGACTTTACATTTAAATAAATTCCCTATTTACTATTTATACCAATGAGAAGAGAACATCTGAAAGGACTACACAAAGTCCAACAGGCAGCCAAACACAAAATGTTAAACTTTTCCACTGTTGGTCAAATTACAACTGAAAACTTTAAAATGTCTCCCTCGGATTTTATGTGATAAACTAGAGCCTAGTCGTACACAACTGACTTTTTTTTCCAGTATTAATAGCATTTTCTGACCATCTCTTTTCTGAATTTACCTCAGTGCAAATACTATGCAAACCTCCACCCACTGGTTTGATTTGTTTTCAAACAGCACAAACAATTCACAACACAGACGTGTTATAAATTCTCAAGCTTCACCTTGTAGACTTCTGCATTTTGGATGAATCTACACAATAATGTTCTGCAGTAAGCCATTCTCCATCATCAGGTCCTGTCAGCCTGAATCAGTAGCTAATTATTTCAGGCTAATCTGAGTTTAGACATGATGTGGAGACCCACAGCTGCTCTTAATTCAAGATTTCAACAATTCAATAATTCAAATACTCACTAAAGGTCTCCACTTTAAATAATCTTGGAAGTCAAAATGTAATAAAGTTGCACTAATTTGCGAAATTGCAGCAACCAGCAGAGGGCGAACTTGCTACAAAGAATTTCCTGCTCAGATGTGAGCAATTGGATCAGAAACTTGACCTGATGCAGGGTGTGGCACATCAATCAGCTGAGAATGTCAATCTAATTCATTTGCATCAATGAATCGTCAAATGTTCTGCTTTCAGAACCTCATTGGTTATGTATTTATTCATTTGTGGTCACAGCCTGTGTGCATTTCTTAAGTGTGTGTGTGTGTGTGTGTTGGGGGGTGTTTGTGACAGAAGAGTGCCACAAAGCAGCTCTGTGACATGTGGTGTGGATCAGGATTCATAAAACCAAGTGACGTCTGATGCAATCTCTAAATTATTCTGAAGGCGTTGAAGAACTTCTCGAATTCTGGCTTTGAACTGTTTTTCTCCTTTTTTCTTTCATTCTTTTCTTGAGTCCAAACACATGTTGACCAGCTATCTTCCAGGGGCGGCAGCATTCCTGACCTAAAAAGTCCCAACAGTTGGTTTTCATAATCGCACTGCCACACAGCTGACAGCAAGATGAAACCTTGTTTTCTGCGTTTTCCTTTTGAACATAAATCATTGTAAAGACCTCATTTGTTTTGAAGTTTTTTTCCAGTTCACCAGCTTTATGCGTTATTATTCTTTAATCAATGCAAAAAACATGTATGTTAATTGAAAAGACAGTACATGTGGAGAATCATCACCACTTTCACAGTTCAATTGCTTTCTGTGGCCATTAGAAAAACAATGCACTTATTTCCAGACATAATGAAGTCTCACAGACAGCATAAAAAAGGCACCAGGCAGGAGATGCTCAGCAGGAACTATTCATAATAGAAGCCGCACAATGGAGGCTTTATCTTCAGTAGCAAATAACAGAACCTGATTATGCAGAAAAAAAGAAAGTGCACGATGATTGCTATGTTTTTAAACTAGAAAGTTAACTCACTTTTTGTAAGACATTGGACTAATCCTACACCTGCAGCCAATTTTCGATCCAGCGACTTTCTCCAGATGGATGTGATTTCACCTTTAAACAAAAATCTGAATTTATCTTTGGTCTGGCTTTCAGACTTGTCTAGCTGCTTTGTTAAAATTGGAATCAATTAGAAGTTCAAACAAATTAAGTGCCATTAATTTAGCTGATGAAATACTAAAAATATCCAAAGAAAGAAAAAAAAGTCAGCCTGGGTAGTTTTTTGTCTTAGCAACATGGCTCTCCAACCAGGGTGGCATTTTTATCATGGATTGTACCTGCAATCCACACAGATTGTTTCACAATTTCAGGCTTTTTAGCTCAAGATATTACAAGGCCTACACATTTAATCATATCTAATTCACAATCAGATGACTAAAACATGGATTGGATTGTGTCACGATGTGAACTTTATAAAACCTTTGTTGGGTTTGTGGAAATAGAATTACTAGAGAGAAGTTTTTAATGCTATTTTAGGATTAATGGATTGCACAAAAAAACAAATCTTAACCTGAATTTATCTCATTAAACAAGATATATCTGCCAGGTGTGGATAGCCTTTGTGTTTTTCTTTGAGAACAAGACCTTTGTTTTGAAAAACTACTTGTTTAAGTTTTCCTGAAAATAGACACCTTCAGTTGCTTTGAACGTCCTCCATTAGTAAAATGTTTTCTGCCCACAGGAATGGCTGAATTCAAATTATTTTCAGACCTTTTTAAACTGTTATCTGACTCATAAGCTGCTGCAATGATTTTTCTGAAAGGCTCAGACAGTTCTTTCACTTTTACCTGTTTTCACTCTCACTTCAACAGTTAGGAGCACACCAACTACACATCTGATGTGTAAACATCAGAAACTTCCTTGAAAATGTTGAGTAAACATGTCCTCTCCAACAGATATGAAACATTATTTTTGGACTTTAGCCATTGTACGTGGCAAAAAAATATTAAGGTACGCTTTTTTTATTTCCTATAACATTTTCACCCATTCCAAAAGACAGAAATAAAATCCAAAAAAAAAAAAAAAAACACTTTTTGAAAATTGTAACTACTTGTTGACAGAAACATTTAAAATGTTTTTTATTATTATTATTTACATGTCTAAAATGTTTGGATAAACAGTTCTAAACTTGTTGTCACAAAATTTACCTAATGGGTTTAAATTGGTCATGGTTCATCCTCCAATTTGTGCCGTTAAAAAAATTATAAAATCCACTGTAATTTTATTAATCGCATAATTTTTTCCAACAAGTACAAATTTCATAGTCAGTTGCTGAGCAAACATGAATGTGATCAAAAAAATTAGCCCGGGTAAATCATGAAACGTCCTGAGGAGGGTAGTGTTTGTTTTAAGGTGGCGCCGCGGATGGCGAGCACGTGAAACTGCGGGAGAGAGCAGCGCGTGAACGCCAGGGACCGAGACGTGGGGTCGAACACGCGGGATCTACTTCACGTCCAACTGGGGGAACTCAATTAACTCAAACGTTACCGTGTAACTTGAAGTTCCCTCAAACAATAAAGGCCTCCTTTCAGGACGAACAGAAAGTCCGCGGTGCCTCCTTAACTGAGTGCTGGCACTTCAGAGTGGGGAGTGCAAAGGAGAGGGTCAGAAAGACTGGTGGGTGGGGATAAAGCCCTTTTGGGAGTGAGGAGGGGTGGGGGGAACTAAAAAAGAAAAAAAGAAAAAATCACGTGTTTGGAGATCAAAGGAGATCCGCTTTGTAGAGGAGGAGGAGGAGGGTGAGAAAGAAAGAGGGAGGGAGAAAGCGAGGCAGCGTTGAGGCAATGTAATTGACAAGGCTCGCAGTGGTGAAATAAACACGCTTCGGCGCAGGGGCTCAGCTTTTATTGCACAATCCCGACTCCCTTTTTTTTCTTTTTTTTTTTTTTTTTGGGAGGCATCGCCCACAGCGACTACACCTGATTCCAATTACCTTCACCCGATTAATTAATCCGTGTGAAATTATGTCCCGATCGGCGCAGATCAAGCCGGCAAGATGATGATTTTCCTAAGGAGAGGCTCGGCTCGGGTGCCCGACTCGGTGGTCCCGGTGATCTGGCTGCTGGCCGCTTCTCTGGGCGCCGTTCTCGCCAAGGATACAGCCTTTGTGGAAGTGGTGCTGTTCGAGTCCAGTCCCAATGGGGATTATACTACCTACACGACTGGCTTGCAGGGACGGTTCTCCGAAGCTGGAGCCACTATCAGCGCGGAGGGGGAGATCGTTCAAGTACGTGTTTTTATTCTAAGCTGCTCCGCAGAACCGGGCGACACCAGAATCGGGCTGCAGTTTCACCAAGCTGCCCTCTATAAAACTTTTTTCCACAGTGGCTGTGGGGGAGCTGACAAGATATGTCGTGCGCGCGTGTGTGTGTGTGTGTGAGAGAGAGAGAGGATGGTACTAAAGCCTTCAAGCATATGCGGTCACAAGATGGCTCCTATCTTGTGGAATTCATTCACAGGGAAAACATGCTCTTGCAAGTTATTTTGTTTGATAACTGGTGCGCACTTTTCAGTCATTTGCGCTGAAATAGTAGCGGGAGTTTTTTTTTTGGTAACGCATCGCAGAGCGCTGTGAAAAGTTCGTAAACTTTCACCAAGCAGGTTTTCGTGTGTGTGTGTGTGTGTGTACGTGTTTCGCAATAGCAGCAACACTACGCGTGTATTTATGCGCATGTTTGACTTTTTTTGGATCACGTTCTAATGCAAATTTCCGCGTAAAATTGTTTTGCACACATGATCGCTACCAAGTTCCAAACATAAACATTAATTTGTACTTTGCCAAATATAAAGGCTTTATTCGCCCACATTAAACTTTTTTTTTTCTTTTTTAGCTGTTGTTGCATTTAAAAAAAGTAACTTTCATACAAATATGTAATATTTTATTTCCTGGACCCTAAACGCGTCAAGTGCACTTGGCCGGAGCTGCAAGTGTTCGGATCGGGGGAGTCGGGGGGAAATATGGAGCTTTTCCTCGCTTCAAGGTGTTTATTTGAAGTTTTATGGGCTAATTCTTTCCTAATCTGCTTGGCCACCGACTACAGGGCAGCACAGAGTTCTCTTCTTGTGCAGTGCCAGGGCTTTTAATGACCTTAAACTTGATAGAATCCTGAGGTGCACAGCTCCTTCAAATTCTTTTTTCCTCTTCCCCTTCATATTTCCAAGCCTCTTCTGGGTAATGCATATATTTAGTTGCCTTTAAAACCAAAACTGCAGTAAAGTTGATCTGCACTTACAAAATTATAGACACAAGTTCTCTTTTAGTTTAGGGTCAGTTTTCTGGAGATGAAACTCGGCTACCAGTGATTTGTTGCAGGGAAGCTGCAGAATTAGAAGCTAAACATGCATTTGACTTTGATGCATCATTTGAGGGATGCTGCATTGTTGCATTGCTGCAAAGTGTCCACCATGACACGTTTGTCCTCCTCCTCTTTGCTCATCTACATTGTTTGTACAACTCAGCATCTTCTAAATGCGTCCCTACAGTTTTGTTTTTCTCCAAAGAGCCTTTGACGTTAGGAGAAAGCCGATATGTGGTGAACAGAGGTAGGGATAGTGATGGTCACTCGGCGCCACTGCGTAACCGCACAGCTATGCCGGACCTCAGCTTTACATCAGAACCCGCATCTATTTAGGTTTCCTTTCTTTACAAACATAGCTGCTGACCACTTGGAGACAGCTTGGGCTGTAATGAGCGGCGGCCCGTCCAACGCAGAGCAACTGTCTTAAATTTCTTGTACCTTCTATTCTGCCAAATATATATATATATATATATATATATATATATATATATATTCCCCCTTTTAGGTTTCTGAGTCGGAACTGGCAATAAATGACAATCTGGAGAACATAATTTTTAAAGGGTATCACGTTCTATAGCGTTACAACATTCCTGTAAAGTTTCTGGAAATCCTTGTGATGTTTTAAGAAGTGAAATTATGTTAAACCAAATATTTAGGTAGTATTCAGTTATCAAGTGTGACCCCTCGGAACCACAACATTGGGTTTGTGGAGTATTTTGGTCTTTTTTTGCTGCTTGATCAGAACCCTGAGCAGGTATGGGTTCTAATGGACTGCAGACGGAGTGGGGGGGGGGCAGAGGGCTGTGTTGGCTCTGTTCCTGAGTAAAGATCCAACCACAATCACCACATGTACTCTCCCAACTCTCCTTTTCGAATTCCCTGAAGTTAACACAGCCTCGGCTCTGCCTGAAGAGTGCGAAAAGTGGCACACGCCGCTGGGGCCAAAAATAATAAATTAAGTTAATTTGCTTTTGCTCTCTTTCAGAGGGTCGGGGTTGGGGAGCACGATGATGTAGATTTGGCCCGGTTGCCAAAACCCCAGGCTCCTCCAGCCAGTCCCCACGTTGCCACAGCTCAGCTCTATAAATCATTTTAAAGTGTCAGTGTCTGCGTAGCAACAGGAGCTGAATGGCAACTTTGACTGAGCTTTGATTTTTTTTTTTTTTTTTTTTTTTTTTTTTTCTCTCAAAAACACGGAACATTTCTAAATATAGATAGTTGTGTATGTATGTCGTCTCCTTTTGAAGAAAAAAAAACGGCGTTATAGCTCTTTTAGTGTCTTGGGAAATGGAGAAGCAGCAGTTTTGTGTCAAGAGCAATTAAATGGAGAAGCTTTAATTTAGGAAACTGGATGTTTGTTCATTTGATCCACTAAAGTCTACTCAGCTTCTAATGCTCTGCTTTCCAAATATATCCATTCATTACACTTGATCTTGATTTGCATTTCTCACATTACTATCACAGACTTCAGTGTTTCTTATTGGGATTTTATGAGAGAGACAAACACAAAGCAGTGATTGATTTTGAAGCGGAGGGAAAATGATGCATGCTTTTCACAATTTTTATCAAGTAAAAATCGTAGGCGTGTATTTGTGTTCAGCAACCCTGAATCAAAACATTGTAGGAACATCTTTCACTGCAGTAGCCAATGTAAGTCTTGGGTTACCAGCTTTCCATATTTAAAAACTTCTTGAATAAATTAAAATCAAATGGAAAGTCCCTGAACATCATTTTTCTTGCTCTCTTTTAGACTTGGGTCAAGGCTTTTACTAGGTAGTTTAAACACAGTAACGTGTTTTGGTCATTGTAGCTCTGCTGTATGGTTAAAGTTGTCCTGTCCCAGCTCTTCTTTAGCTAGCTTCCTCCAGCTCCTATCAACTCGCTGCAGAAAATGATGCATTCATGATGCTGCCACTACCGTGTTACACACTGTGGGTGATTGGAGCCAGATTTGAGGTGTGCAGGACTAATTGCTGTTCTGTCAGTTGTTTCTCCCTCCTCAGATGTGGATCTCTGCTGCTTCTTTTGATTGCTTCATTGTGTTTAAAGCTCGTTTTAGATGAATGGCCATGTGATGATTTGGAGTTGTCTCATCATTTCTCTGTTCCCAGATGACTGATTGACTCCCTGAGATGTTCCAAACTTGAAATATTGTTTTATAACCTGAACCTGATTGATTTGGTGAGTTTGATTTGGGTGAAGCTAAAACCATGCCACTTGAGGAGTTCTGGGTAAAATATTTACAGACAAAAGTGTTTTTCAGCTTGAATGCAAAATGTGTGTATATATTTTATATAGTTGTGGCTCAATTTCTGCTCTGTGTTGCTTTGCATCAAATGACCTTCTGTTGAGTTTGTATACTCCAGTTAACGATGAATCGATTACTAAATTATGTGACGATTATTTCAATATTCACGATTGATCTGATTAATCGTTTCAGCCCTAGTGCCCAGGACGGACGTTTCTCACTGTTTTAATCCTCCTTGCTGCTGACAGCTCTCCTGATCCGTACCGCTTCGCAGCGAAGGGCCATCTGCCGCTCATCATTTCTGCGCTCTTCATCGCTGCGCCGCTCTGCCTGTCGCCGGGCGACCTGGAGATGCACGAGCTCACATCTGCCTCTGATTTCCAGTGGAGCCGTACTTGTCGGCGTGCGACTGAAGAAGCCGGGACGTGGCAGGGGCACGCAGAGCTCCAGATGGAACTCATAGCGTCGTCGGCCAGAACCAGAGGGAATAATGTGGCTTTTTCCTGACTTCCTCTCTGAGAGGACAGAGCATCCCTTGAATCCTGCTTCAAAAAAAAAGAAAAAACAAAAGATCTGGCTAGTTTTCTCAACTTCCACGAGCGGTTTGACCTTTGAACTTGATCTCCTGAAGCGTCTGAAGAGCCTGCAGCCTTTTGTTTCCCACTGACTAAATGTTCAGGGGGGAAAGTGGTGGTTTTCAATTGAGACAACGATGCGCTGGAATACTGGAGCTCCTACCTTGCATTTGGCAGGGCTTGTGTCGCGCTGCATTTAGACTATAATGAGAGCTTTAGTGGTTTAAGGCATCCAGTGCGCGTTCTCACCGCAGCCTGGAAACCCCAAGAGGCTATAATGGGGCCCGGGCCCAGACAGTAGGTGCCCCGGTCCGGGGCCACTCCCAACGCCAAAGCAACAGTAGCAGAGTACACAAACGCTGGTTTCGAAAGGTTGAAAGCGACGCTCCCTACTTTTTTCCAGTTATTGGCTTGGTGGTTGCAGCTGTATTTTAAGTGCTATCGTCTCTTAACCGCCACCCTGCTTCACTTTCATGTCTCAGCCAAAGTAATTTGAGGCTGCGTTTCTCCTCTTTTTGGAATAGAACAGACTAAACTGTTTTTCTCTTTCTCTTGCTTAACACCCCCCTCACCCCCCATCCTGCCCTTTCCTACACACCGTCTCGCCCCCAGTGTGGTATTTAAAATGGAGCCAAAAACTGTTACGCGTCCTAGACTGCAAGTGGATGATTTCAAGTAATGTTTACAAACCAATCAGCTAAGGCTAAGTAGTCTCTCAAACTAAATTGAGTCCTTTGGGAGCCTGTATATGGAGGCTGTTTTACTGGCAGATGTTCCCATCGACTCCTCTTATATCATTTCATGTTACTTCAGCAATGACAACAGGAAATGCTTATTTAATTTTTGGTTGAAGAAATTGTGTACTTCAGCACAGTGAATTTTTTTAAGGAATTATCTGGAGCATTTGCTGCCCAAGTTTTAAGCTAGTAGCTGTTTGCACATTCACTTCACAATTGAAGAGTTTCTTTTTGAAACTTTACTTGTCTGAAGGCAAAATAAGTTAAAATGCATTTTCCAGTTAAGATATTTTGGTTTGTAGTGACTGTCAGGGCACTACCAGCCTGCTACACTTATTTAATAAACTTATTTGTGTATATAAAAGACGTATACTGATAGTTTAGCTTAAGTTGTCTCAATGAGAGGTAGACAATGCACTAAGGTGTGGGCTAATTCCTCTGCTCTTCTTTGCTTTGTCTGCAAACCCACGCCTGATTTCACTCCCTGGCAGCAGCAGGTTCTGCACAGTAACGACACAAACTGGGTGCACAAACAACGTGGCATAATCTAAAACTGCTTATGCTATGACTGTTTAATATTAAGTATGAAGCTACGGGATTGGCTTACTAGAACATTTTCAATAACAGATCGTCACACAGAGGGATTTGTGTGCGTAACAGGTGCTCACTCATGAGTCACCAAGTTGTTTGCTACAAGAATAATTCTTCTTTTTTTCATAAGTAGCTAAACTTTTTCCAACAACTTTCTAAGTTTATTGAAAATGACAACAATGTAAGTGGGGAATAAATCGGAAGTTAACGCCAAACATGAATCTTCGAAATTGTCATTTATTTAATTGGATAGCATTATGTAATGAGAAATAATTACAGCACTTTTGAGGAGCTTGAGTGTGGAACAATTAATGTTACAGCAAGTATGTGAATATGAAAAAGAGACAAAGTATTAAAAGTAAAAAACAATAAAATGTGCTAAAAAGACATCAAATATTCACTACATAATGGGAAGAGTACAGCAGTGTCCATCATTGTTGATAGGAGTTGCTACAAACATCAGTGATCTCATTGTCTCCACTAACAATTTGGTTTATTTTCAAGTGAGGGGGAAAAAAAATGAAAATTTTTATTTTAACCAGCTGAGAGGCAGTGGGTTGGCATTTCAGTGTTTTCTCTGTTTACTGGTGAATCTCTCTGCACTTTTCTAATCTTTTTCAAACGTTATATTACTGTTTTCCAAACTCATTTTCCTCTCCTACCTCTGGCTCTTTTGATCTTGACTTCTACACCTGTGCCTCTGAGCCTCACTCTCTCCCCGTCTGAGGACAGATCTACCTAAAACCAGTGCGTGTTGGTACTGGTGGCCCCAGCAGCAACGGACTGACTGGCTGAGCTTTGATGTTGTCCGACCAGCTTTCTCTCCTCTCAGGGGACAGCTGCTCCCTTGTGTCGCTCCCCTCCTGATCCAACATTGATTATGTGTCCAGGTTTGTATGTCTGAGTGTCTTGTTTTGTCCCTCGACGCTTTTCTGATTAGGAAGCATTAGCCAGTTTGCCCAGAGGTTACACATTTTTCTTGGGAACGATGCTTGGGAAAAGCATCCAGGCGGGTGGAGAACTGTTTTATCTCTGTCTTCTGTTTTATCTCGGGCGGCTTTGAAAACTCGCTGACTGACCGGAGTCCTGAGTGGGATTTTGTTTTTTTGCGCAACACATGGTGTGCCTTCCCTTCGTTTTATGAAACGGTGCTGAAAGGCACAGTCCATCCTGACATCCCACATTTTTATCCACTGACACATGGGGTCTGCAGAACAAAGGCTAAGGGGTCGAGGGTTATAAAATGACAATGCTTGTAGTAGCTCATCCAGGCAGAGGCATCCTTTTGTTGTTGGTTAGGAATGTGCTGACTAACTGTGAAAGGCCACAATGCCAACTGCCTCCTTTGTTGAACTTTTTTATGTCAATGGACTAGAAAGGTAGGTGGACAGAAGGGCAGGTTTCCTGCTTAAATGTTCCTTGTTCTGCTTATTTTTAGCAGTCGGTCGTCTCTCTGATCTTTGTTTTTATGAAGGAGAGCTCGACTTATCAGAGATCTTCCTTACTTACCCAACTCCAGGAACACTGGGTTCAAAGTTCTGTCTTTTGTGTGCATCATTGCATAATGTGCAAGCCCATCTACAATGTTGATGTTAATGCTGTTTTAATATACAGGTTTTTGTGAAGAATATCACTTTAGTTTCCTGTTGCGACTGGTTGTGCGTGATTCTTTTTTATCAAAGGCATCAGAGACGGTTTTTTCTTTCATCTTTTTGTAAATGCATTCCTTTGCAGCTGTTGCAGAGGTCATTAACAGCATTCCAGTTGATTTCAGGTGAATGCTTCTGGCCCAAAATGCTAATGTCTTCTCACATCCCAGACCCCGTTCTACCTTCTCCTTATGTGTGTCCACCTGTGGGCACAGTGCTTTCCAAAAGTTTTCATACTCCTTGAACTCTTAAGGTTTTCATGTTAATTTTTTTGCTTACAAGGTGTGCTTTTTAGTTTGCATTCATGTTGATCCCCCTTTTTACTCTTAGAAAAGTCAAATTGCCTTCACTCATGTAATTACTAAGTATAGTCTGCTTTCCACTCTGTGAACATCTTACAAACCAATGTTCCATCCATCATCCGAAAATGAGAAGACTATTGCACAGACGTGGGGCCCATCAAAAATGACTGATGGGCCAATAAAGAAACCGCCAGGAGGCTTAAGGTAACTCTGGAGGAGTTGCAGGAGAAAACTGTTAGTTATGTACTCTAAAAACCTATGGAAGAATGCCAAGAAGGCGACGTATGTTGAAAGAAAGTCACTAGTTGAAGTTTGCTAGAAGCCATATAGAGACACAGCAACCATGCAGCAGAAACCAGTAAGGGACATGCAAAACGCCACATGTGGCGGTTAAGTAAAGGTAAACATCACTTTGAAGACGTTCTCCCCAACATGAAACATTGTGTTTGCAGCTCCATGGTGAAGGGAATCATGGGGAGTTGGACTGTAGGAAATGCAGGAAAGGGGTTGAAGAAAAACTGTTAAAGGTTGGAAGAAAACTATGAAACTGAAATGAAGTTTAACTTTACGCAGGAGGAAAAACAGAGCTTCAATGGATCTATGAAGCATATTTATATGTTTAGAATGGTCCAGTCAAAGTTCAGCTATAAATCCAATTGTCAACTCTGACAAAACTTGAAAATTGATGGTTGCAGATGTTCTCCGTCCAATCTGCCTGACTTCTGTTATAGAAGTAAGACTGGATAAAACTGGAAACAAAGTATTGACTCTTGGTGGCTGCATAGAAAGATGCAAATCTTTCATTTGTATATAAAATAAACTTAAGCCATTCATATTCATTTCACTATTATCCACTAATTTGATGTGGTTTGTCAAATAAGAACCTATGAAAATGTTTTGTGTGAAATGTGAGAAAACTTGGGTATGAGTATTTTCACAAAGTGCTAAAGCAGTAACATAATGAGGCCAGAGGCGTGATGGATTGGACCTGCTTGGTCAGATGAGAACAAGCTGGGTTATCTCTGCATGCTTATTTTTCCTGCAGAGCGCTGTGCCGCAAGTCTCCTGAGTAACGATATCGCTGCATCTATCGCGGCTCCTGCTCTGGCAGTAAGAAAGCGGCCTAGATTTTCAATATAAAAAATGTCTTTTATATTGTTCCTGTATCAGGGGTACCTCTCAAAACACGGGGGACACATGACTTTTTTTTAAATTTTTTTATAGGGTTTGTCTTTCCTGAAAACTATTTTAAAAAAGGCAAATATGTTCTCTTTCTGCTGTTTCTGGACTGGTGGTACAGCATAGGAAAAGTATCAGAACTCTACTTTCCTTCCCCTCTCTCTGTCAGCGGCCCTGGCCATGCCGCCGCCGCCGCCGCTCGCTCCGACTCCTGGACCCTGAACAGGGAGGGGCCTGTGTGGCTGGGTGAATAGCTTGCCGGGAGTCTTGCCGCTGGTGTAAACCACATGAATGCGCTGCCTGAGCAGATAGTATCAGTCGAGGCGGGGAGTCCTGGGAGGCCACGGTGCTCGGCACAGTTCCGCGTGCTAACATCAAAGGCAGAACCAAAGGGGGGGAGCGGGAGAGAAGCAGAGCGAGGAAAGAGAGAGTGAGAGAAAAAGGAGCGAAGGCTGGGCCAAACTCTTCAAAGGCCTCTATGACTAATGCCAGCGTTGATATGCGGAGCTGCAAAACTGAATGATGATGTAATTGCAGGCCTTCGAGCTAAATCCGCTCCCATACAAATAAAGGTGGAGATGTTGCTTATGTGCAAGAAGACATACCCATCGAGTGTTTTCAGGCTTAAAGTCAGATAGCTGAACATATCGCTCTACTGCTACAGGTTTGCATTGTGACAGAAAACTTTGATTCTAGTGGACGTTTCCAAAGTACACATCGGCTGGAACAGCATAGTGTCTCTGTAATGTTTATATAGAGCTTCTGTTTGTGTTTGATAAAATGTGCACATCTACTTCCCCTGTAATGTGTGCTGTGCTAAGCTAAGCGTGACCACAGATCTTTGTAAACCGCCTCCAGCAGGCTGATAACTCGTAGTTGGCTTCCATGATGGCACAAAAAGGTGCTTCATACCGGACACAGTTTTGCTTTCAGAGCGCACAGCTATAATCTGCTATTAGCTATTTGCATATCTTTGTGCTTGTTTTTCTGATCCCAGTTTGGTGATTTTGCTTCCTTTTTGATGTTTAACTGGCAGTAAACACCTGCGCCGTCTTTCATTTGAAGTTCCTGTATGAACTGGAAGCCAAAGCTTGCAGCATAAAGCTTTTGTTGCTAGTTGAAGAGATGGAGAGACCCCCTTTTTCCAGCACAGTGAGACTGTAGCGCTTGTCGGCAGTCGCAGGATCGTCCAACTGGTCGTTTTTATTTTAAAGTGAGGAGACGGAACACAAATCAGAAAATCAGTCAAAGAATTGATTTTCTCAGTTATAGCTGCTGCCATTTGCAAATGTAATTCCTGAATAACTAAAGTTATAAAAAACTTCAGCTTTGTACTTGTTAGAAATGTACCTGTCTACTGAAATTTCTAGTACTTTTTATTAAGTAGAAATTTTCTTTATGTTGTAATACATCGTCACAAACATCATCAACCTCATTTTATTATATTTGCCATATTTGAACCCTGATCAAACAAAGAGTTCACCTCCTAGTAACTGCATCTCCTTACAATAAACTATTGGAATTGGAAAAACCTGACAATTTGATTTTTCTAACTCATTAAAATGATTAAAAATGCAAAATTATAAAACTCCAAAAGGATGAAAAGACCAACATGTAAAATCCACATGGCAAAAAAGAAAGTCGGTCCAAATGTAATGCACAGTTTTGTATAAAACTGTCCACAGAATCGTAAGCGTTGATTCTAAATATTTACATAATTCTTTTTATAGAACTTCTTAGCCATACTTACCAGCCATGTGTATCATGCAAAACATTTTGAGATGCTGATAAAGCTAAAAGAAGATCACTGAAGTAATCGATGCTCCCAAAAGAACATTTTGACTTTTCTCTAGACTTTGATCAGTTTGCCTAATCAATTTGACATTTTCCGTCTAATGCATTGCCTTTTTGTACTTAATCATAGCATAATCCATTTCCACCTTCTAAATCCTCAGGAAAAGGTCAGGACAATAACTCCTGTCCAGCTGTGGCCATTTCTTTGTCCTTGCACTCCATCTGTTCATATTACTTTATTGGCCATTACAGCAGGTCACTGAGTTGAGTGACAACAGGAAGGAGTGATCATATTTTTGTGGATATAGGGTGCACTTCATCATTTGTATCGCTCTACTGACGCACCTCGCATTTATCCAGGTCCATTCCTCTGTCGCATGTCTCTGTAGCAGCAGCACTTTTCATTCTTGGCTGTTTTTGAAGAGGCCAAGTTATTCTGGGGTGATTCCATGGGCAGTTTGTCCAAACACACTTGGCTCTCTAATGACAAGTTGTCCCTTGACATGTCAGGGAATGTAACTTCTCAGAATGCTGTTTTGAGAGAAAGTAGAGATGGGTTTTGAGATGACGGGAATAACAGAAAAAGATGAACCAGTTCAGAGCCGTCGCTATGCTGTCTGCATCCCACAGGCATGTGCCAAAGTCCAACTGTCACCCCGGGGTGACATGCATCCCGCAGGCATGTCGAAGTAAACATCTCTGGGTATGTGGCGCTGACATTTGGACAGTGGCCTCACCGTATACTCTTGGAAGGAACATTTTATCCTTCACAAAATATATGTTCAGACTAGATTTATCCAGAAGAAATAGTTTCTTTCCTAAAGTTAGCCTTTGGTTTACTTCTAGGGATATTTATTTGTTTACAGTTTTAACCTAAGCTAACCTTTGAGCTTAGATGACACATTTTAATCTTTTAATTGCTGGAGCCATAATTGCTTAAATTATTGTTTATAAAGCCTGTGCTATTTGAGTTTACTTTTAATTTAGCTTCTTCTGAAGGCAGCATTTGGACATCTTCAGGTCCTCTTTGTCATTTCCTGAAGGAACCTGTAACTAGTTGTGTTTCAATGGACCATATAATTGTGCAAATTGGAATTCCAAAAATAAATTATCTTCATGGAAACACAATTTAAAAAAAACTCGCATTTACCTCATTCCACCTGTAGGATGAGGTGGGTGTCAGGTGTATTGAAATTAGTGTATTTTGCCAAACTGCAATGGAGAAACTTTTTCCGGATCATACGAGTCATGTGATCAATAAGCAGATGTTACTATTGACAGAAAAGATGAAGATGATGTCAGAAAGTGGTAGGATGATGAAGACACGGCATGTTTTTAAATTACTTACTGTGCGACCAAACTTATTCACGTGTGATTTTGTTTCTTAATGGAAACACAGCAATTGCAGAATTGTGTTTCTTCATCATCAGTGGGATATCAACCAAGTTTTGCATGCATTTATAAAGAAACACGGCTACTGTTGCACCTTGAACCCTCAAAACAAGGTGGAGATGGATCCATATGAATGATTTGGCTGGTGTCGTAATGACACAAGTTGTGATATTTAAATAAAATAACGCTTTGGGAAGGATATAGTGCAGTTCACCTGGTGCATAAATGTCCATCAGTTGCACATATGGGACAGATCACACTTCGATCTGCTGTACAGAGTTTATGTTTGAAATCATGAAACAAAATCAAATGTAGGCATCAACATTGTGTGGTGTGAAGTCTGGTGAAACATCTATATGATTTGAGAGTTTGAATTGAAGACATTTATTTGATGCATGTTATATGCATAAGAGGTTTTACCAGCTAGAATCAGAGAGATATTCAGCATGCGTTTGTGTCGAACTCTTAAGTTTACCCCAGTGAATTATTCTCCAGACTATGGAGGTTCTTTGACGTTGGCCTCATCTATAAAAGTGCACACCTGAGTGGGATGCAGATTTAATAGAGCCGGCTCTATTAAATCATGCAAGGCCAGAGACTGTGTAAAGACTGATTTCTCTTTGAGGCAATACTGTAAAACATTACTGCTGTCCTCGGCAAAAATGTAGGAGGGACGTAAACATCCAGAGATATGAAAGAATAAAAAAGGCATTTCTAGTATCTGTATTCACCGTTTGTTGAATTGTTGTCGCCATTAGCTCAGTTTTCAGCATTTTTCAAGAGAAACTATCAAAATTTCAGAAGTTGCCATTGCCACGCTTCAATTTACTGGTGGAAGCATTTACCACTCCAGTCAATTAAAACGACTAAAGCTCAGTAGAATAAAGCAAAGTCTAAAAACTATAATATCAGTTGGAGTGTAGAAAAAGGAACAAACATTGAATTTTAATTTTAAAATAAAGCTGTAGAAAACACAAATAACTTGACCCTTCACCTTAAACACAGACATA